GAAGTCAACTGCCGAATAATCGGCTTTTTTGGCCGTATGAGTATACGTTGCCCAGGGTGCACCACGTGGAGGTAAGTCTATCACGCACCCCATTGGCCGTGGATTAATGAGCGTGATTTATTTGACCACGGCTGGTTTCTTAAGTATTTCGCCTTATCACTAATCTCATTCTTTGAAAGAGATTGATGTCGCTATCACACATCTTCCAGATCTCGAGTCCTATTTTTTTGTCGATAAAAGCAAACTTTACATCGAGTTTTATTGTTATTCTATTGATAAACCACCTAATTTTTTTCCAAATAAGTTGGATTAAATAGGGTTTAGTTGAAATAGCTATTCAAAATACCTCTTTTAATTTCTTTTTATCCATCCAAGAGCTCAATTCTTGCTAAATTAATTGTCATTATTGATTTAACTTCCGAATATGCCATTGGTCAAATTACATGATGCGCCTTTTCCCAATGTTCAAGTTTCCCCTTAACTTATTGAATAACCTTTTTTAGCTACTTTTTCGAATATTTATAAAGTCGTAGAAACAAAATATCAGAATCTGCTTATTATTAGTGGAACTCCGTAATTGAGATTGTGGGCATACAAAGTCCAAGTTCACGCAATTGGCATTTTTCAGTATAAACCATTGATTAATTCTTTCCGACAACAGGAATGTAAACAACCAGACCACCTTCAACACTCTCAAATCAAGTTGGCTTTGTATTTACTGCGTATATGTGGAAGGTTCAAGACTGTTGACGTGTCGGTCATGTTTTCAATCACCCAGGGCCTGCCCTTGACACACATCCCTGTTTATTAGGTGAAACTATGGAAAACAACCCCCCCCCAACAGCCATCTTTATATTTTCCTTGAAGTGAAAATAATCATTTCGTTGAAGACATTATTTTCAGATTCGTGTTTAAATTTTATGAATATTGTAGCCAGTAGACAAATAGTATTCTTTTAGTGATTTGGATAACACTCTCAAAAGCACGTGACCTAGCAAATGTGTTTACTTCGTTGTCAACACAAAACAAAACAGCAATATTTTTTAATATCTGCATTTTTTAGAACAAGAAGAATAAGGACGCGACTATTCTCTACTTCACCGCAACCAAGACCATGTTTAGTGTTCCGAAGTATTCACAAGCACTGGAGAAGATCTGTCAAAAGAGAGGAATCAATTACAATTTGTGTCAAAATCTGGTCGAGGTAAGATATGCCTCAACTTACGCATAAACTGTGAGTGGCACTCATTTGAAGTAAATGGCTGAAGTCGGAATACTTTTAGCGCGATGAATATTTCATTGGACAACCTCTAGGTCAAGTAGAAAGTGGCGGTGTACAGTTAGTGTCGCCTATTGCCAAATGGGGTGTCTACTTAAAGTGAGTCTTTGGGACAACTAAACGTAAGTGGTGCTGAAGTTGGGGGTTAGGTGAACATGGGGTAGTCATTATTTCGCATGAATGGAAGAGGAAGGTTAAGCCGATCATCCTGATCGAAAGAGCATAAGTAGGTAATTTTTCGAAAAGCCAACTTTAAATTACTCTCGGTTAATTGAATTCTGCTACTAAAGACCACCAGAAAAGAGATATTGAGTTATCAAGTTTGGTGACATAACAAGATGGGCCATTTAGATATTCATTTACATCAAATTGCAGGCTTTCTGATAGTTATCATTAGCCGTATAGCTGACTTCGAGCACCACAGAGAGGAAGAATATCAAAATCGTAGTGGGGGAGAGTGATGCTCAGATGTAAGAGAGACAGATTCTAAGATAGAGAAAAAGGTATGGTAAGGTGAGTACTGTGAAGTGGTGGAATATGACAAGGAGTAGGGTCATAGTAGTTTGAAGTGAGAAGTCAACTGCTGGTTTACAAACTTTTTTATCGTATGAATATACGTTGCTCAGGATGCACCACGTGGAGGTAAGTCTACCGCACACCCCCCTGCGCATAAATGTATCTCATTGAATGTTCTATATTCAGTTATTTGAAAAATGACTACAGTTTTTTGCATAATAGAAATGCATAAAAGATAAATTACTCTTTTTAATTCCTCAGGTGGATCATAAAAGAAGTGTAGTAGTTATCGAGAATTTGGAGACGAAAGAACGTCAAGAATACCAAGTAAGTTAATTCTCGTAATCTAAAAATCGAAATGACTCTTCTACTTTTGTAGTTTGCCCAAAAGCGATATTACTAATTGCTTTAAGAATTCGGCTTGAAATGTGATTTGATGGTAAAGTCCCAACTCCTCAAAGGCCACAAGGCCAAATTCTACAAAAACATCAACTCTTACATACCGTTATTGATGCACCTTTCTGTCAGTTTGGTAGTTATTTGAAAACGTCAAATGGTTTTGACAAGGTCCGTGACGAAATAAGGGCTTTTTGTGAACATTTTCAGTGGACATCAACCTATTGCAGGATAGATTTTAAGGGTTTGGGTAAAATTAAGGCATTGGTATTAGCCTTTTTTTCAGAATTACTTAACAACGTTTAAATTCAATACGCTATTGTTGTACTTTTGAATTTAATTACCCCCCCCCCTGTGTAAATTCAGATCCTTGAATAACAGACTATAACTAATTGGCGTTTTGTTGACCTCAAGGAAACTCATTTCCCTCTCGGTATAAACATCATATTGGTCAGGAGGTGACTTGAATGTTTTCGTGGCACACAAGAATTACTTCGTCCTTCCTGAATGTTTTATTTTTAAACCTTGAATTGCTTCATTCACACTTGGATATGTAAGGCTAACAGTGAAGAACCCATCGTTAAAATTATTGGCTAATCAGACAGTCGATAATTTAGGAAATATTCATTTAACAAATGAAGAGATTTACTCTATACAATTCATCGTCTTCAGTACAGTTTTTCACAACTCCTATTGCTGTGGTTTTGGAAATGATAGCTTTATTATAGAGATGCATTCGCTAGACTTGCACAACCGATAGGTTATGTTCTAATATGAGTATTTGAAATGAATTATTTTTTAGTATGATTTTCTCCACATTACACCTCCAATGTCTGCTCCGGAAGAGCTGAAAACGGGACCTGACCTTTCATCACCCGATTCGAACGGTTTTGCCACCGTGAATCCTGAGACGCTTCGTCATGTCAAATATAAGAATATTTTCGCACTTGGCGATTGCTCCAATATTCCCACTTCAAAAACAGCTGCTGCCATTTGTAAGAATTATTTTGAGGAAAATTATGTGTGTTACTCATTTCATCATTTCAGTAGTACTGTTGGTGTGGTTATTCAATTTTAGTAATGGCTAGTGTAAAGCACCAATTATGACACCAAGCACGAATCGGAAAGGAGCTTTTGTTAGAGACAGAATCAAATAGTCTTTTGGTAGATATATCTGATACTTTGCACACCCGGAACCATATCTTCATGAGAAATATAAATCAAGAAGGAATGTAAGATGCAAAGGTGTAGTAAAGCGATAATTCTTTTCAAATAAATCACATCTCTCACCATCTGCATGGGGCTTAAAATGGACATGTTACGATACATTAGCCTTCCACAAGCTGCTATTCTTCGATGTTGGACTAGTTTGTTTGAGTGCTTTCTGACGAGTTTTCGAAATTTGACTACTTTCAATTAGTAAGTAGGAACGCGATTGCCAAATTAAAGTGTATATAAATTTTGTAAGCTTCTTTACAACCTCTCATCTCCTAACTGACTTGAGCGCAGCAAAGCCAGATTCACAACCGCTAATATTTCAAAAAAGCTTGATTCATAGATTTAGAAATTTTTTCCCCCTCAGTGTTTGTTCAATCCATGTCCGTTCATTTTATTTTGTACCTTACTCACATCATACCATATATGTGTTCCTCGAATTTTAGCCACATAATTAGTAGATTTTATTGCTAGATTCTTGTTTATTGGATGATTCATTTCAACTCCATTTAGCTTCTGAAAGTCAGGTTTTGTGTGCAAACCTCGCAGACGTTATCAAAGGCGGCTCAGGAGAAGTTGCGAAGGTAACATTTGATTAGATAATTATTATATTTACTGAATCTATATTACATTTAGCTCAATTTCGCTTATTTTTTTCAATTTTTCAATTTATAATTAATTAATTTCCTCATATTGTTAATCACATTGACTTTCATATTTCGGCATTATTTTAATACATTTAGTGTATGACATTCAACCGTTAGTCTTACTGTAAAGATAAAATCAATGCGCAGGTGAATGTACTTGTGTATACTTTTGTAGTACAATGGCTACACGTCATGTCCTTTGATAACGGGATATTGGAAAGGCATCTTGGCTGAATTCGATTACAAACTGACTCCGATGGAAACATTCCCAGTGGATCAGTCTCAGGAACGTGCCTTTTTCGCTTGGTTCAAGCGCAATGTTTTGCCACCTCTCTACTGGAATGGGCTTATCAAGTAATGCTACTTAAATATTATCAGTATACGACACGAAAATTCCGCATCAAATAAACGGTCAACCATGTATGTTTGTGTATGCATGACATTTAAAATGGCTTCGGTTGCAATTAGTGTACACACCACTCTACTCATTCAATAATCTCTGTTTGATTGAGGCTTAATTGTACTAACTTCACGAAATCTATTATTAGCTCTCCTTTATTTTATAAATAGAAAAACCCAGTCATCTAATAAAGTTAAAATGTATGCTCATGGAAGATAGTTCAGACTCATATATTTGCTGTTTCATTGGGCAACTTATATTAGATAGTGAAATATTTTTATTGGAATATTTATAACTATTTTTTTTATTTTAGGGGTTCATGGAATGGCCCAAGCACATTAAGAAAGATTTTTCATTTGGGAAGGGGATGAATCAATGGAACATGTAAAATTTCTAGCTTAGATTCTCATTCCGAAATTAAAATAAATATATTTCACATTATTTCCAATAAATTACTCAATTTTAGTCAACTTTTTTTATAATTTCCTTTTAAAGGCTTTCTTATTGAGCTATGGAATAGAAAAGTTTATTTGAGGCGGTGCAATGCTTAGTAGTGCTGTAACTAACAGCTTAGTTCCGCCAAGCAAAAGCATTGAAATATCATAATTGCCAAAACTGAACGACCCTAGAAAGACTCCCTACACTCGAGAATAAACAAATATATGCTTTGGTATTTCAAGAAATAAGGGAAAGATGTACACAAGAAGGAATTTTTGAAAATTGAAATGTATATGAAAGTAGGCAAGGAAGAGAAAATAGAGGAACGTGGCTATCATGTCTGTTTTAGTGGGAGTTCGAGTTAAGCACTAAGTATTATGAAAGTGTGTTTAGGCGTTTGAGTCATGGTATTCGAATGTGCATATCTGGTGTAATTGATGGGATATTAGTTTTTGAAAACATATTGAGGTACATAAAGGCAAAGCAGGCATTTGATGAGTTCAATTGGTCCAAATGTTATGTACGCTTTACTCTTTTGAAGGTTTTTAGGAAATAGATGGAGACGTTGGGGTTTGCATTCGAAGGTGAGCTGCTAATATGGAAAATGGCTGGACGCAGGGTAAACATGAGTGGTAGTTATAATTCCATAAGGAGCAAGTGTTTAATATATAGGGACGTTCACTTCTTAAATGTATAAAGCAATAGCCTTTCCGTGCAAGGGTGGAAAAATTCAAGTGAATTTTGTGTTGTATAGAGCGTGCACATAATAATCATTAGTAAATTAATGGAGTATGTTGACAATATTCATCTGTCTTTCACATTTGACGCCTCTCTTTTGTGTCATTATGCCAGCCTGCAAATGTTTTAAGTCCAAACATAATTAGGACTAGAAATATCAGATATTTCGCACCCAATGCTGGTTCAATATTCTCAGAAGTACTAGTAAATAAAAATATTATTATTAAAAATAAACAGGCAGACGATTTGTGTCCTCAAAAGCTTCTTCTGGGCGTCTCAAAAAATTATGACATAGGTTACTAAAGCTATTTTAACAAAGTATGTAGTTATTTAGTTGGACAATAAATTTTTAAATACATGAATATAAAAAGAGCTAGAGTAAATAATCATAAATAAATAAAAGTTTCATATTGTTTGTACTTGAATTTGATGATATAATTGAGATATTCTAAATCATAACAACGCGGTTATGCTATAAATTAATTAAATCTATATTTAATTATGTCAAAGAGTTATAATTTATAACCCAACGAGTGAAATAAAATAGTGCATGAAAAAAATTACTTAAGCAGCACGTTTACCGGCGCTGTTTATTTATTGACTACTATTATTTGTTTTAATATCCTTGTTTAACTGAGCGAATAACGCCCGTTTTTTCATAAGGACGATTTGTCAATTTGTGTCAAGATGAAATTTAACTTTAAAGAATCTCGCACTTTCGGTAAATTTAAATTTTAAGCTTAGACTGACGTTATAGATGAACGCCTGAATGATGCCACCAAAATCAAGAGAAAGTATCCGGACCGAATTCCAGTAACTATAAATTACCCTTTCCGATTTTCGGAAACGTTATAATCTTTGTTCTTATAATGGATATTTTAATGCTTTTTGATAATTGGAACAGGTTTAATATGGGTTGGTAGATTTACCTATTTCCCTTGTTCTATATTAGTTGCATTCGTTCAGTTGTTTTTTTCGTTCTTTTCGGATACGTCCATTTCAATTGATAAAAGCTATTTTCTGTTAGGTAATCGTTGAGAGACACCCCGGATCACAAATTAACGATTTGGATAAGCATAAATTCCTTGTTCCCAATGACATAACCGTCGCCCAATTCATGTGGATTATTCGTAAACGACTTCAATTACCAGCTGAAAAGGCCCTTTTCCTCTTCTTCGACGATTTTGTTCCTCAATCTAGGCAAGTGCATTGCATTGCAAACGTATAATCTAGATTCTGTCATTACGACCTTAGTTTGTTTTGTTTATTACGCAATTTTCCGCATTGCTTATATGCCATTTCAGTCTTTATTTGGTGTCACAATTTGTCAAATATAAATGATTTTAATGCATTTGGGGTGATGTTCAATTGTAAATCGTTATCTTACTCCTACCACGTATTTTCAGGTTTTAAATTTGAGTATTGATCTACTTGATCGTCGATCTCTGTCGGTTTATATTTTTGATTTTAACTGATTTTTTCTCCATAGCTGGACAATGGGTCAACTTTACAACGAGCGCAAAAGTGATGATGGTTTTCTCTACGCTCATTACAGTGGGGAGAATTCATTCGGCTCTTTGTAGTACCCTTACATTTTCCATTTCCCCCTGTAGCAGCTCAGATGAAATCACATCAGTTTTATCCCCTCCCTTGGACTTGTTTTACGTCTCTCTTCCTTTGCTCTCGTATTATTTCTGTTGTGTTTTTTGCTGACTAAATGCATGTCCTGGTTTACACGATTACTTACTCTCTCATTGTCTCCGATCTCGATATATTTTTTCGATCACCTACGCCTTTCAATTTTTTGCGTTTTTTATGACTGGGCTCCAGTAGCCTGATTTATGGTAGCATTTAAGCGTCCTGTTTTAACTGGTGAATGTGGTATCATTTTGGGCTGCGTAGTGGTTTGTTCCTATTGTTTTGTTATTGAATTGGCATACCTTAAGTAGAAGGGTTTTCAGCTTATGTTGAATAATTTACTGTCTAAATTAGACCTCGGTAAATCGATCGATGCCATCGTCTCTATGCTCTTGAGAATATGCGAAAGTGTCGTCTAACCTGAGTAAATGTGGATAAACTTCTACATAGAAAACATGCGATTTTAAAACGGACTTGAATTATCTATTTGAATTGAGGGCTGTGTGACTCATTCGAGTGAAGTTATTTGCAAATGATCGGATGTGAACTACGCCACTGATGCACTCAGTGACTTGCACTATGATCTTTGGTTTAACTATTTTTGTGGGTACGTTAGGTAGGGCCCTTTTAACTGAAATAATCAGTTTCACAAACTATTAGTCAATATCCTATAACATTCAAAAACGATTTCTAACTTTCGAAGTCTGATCAAAGCTTATGTCTTGAATTACTTAAAGGACACGACGGGGGGGGGGGGAATGTAATTGATTTTCTCATCTTGGCATCCAGTTTCGTGTTCCCACCTTAAGCATCCCACTCTTGTTGGATTCAATTCACTTTTATGCAGAAGCTACTATTTCACTAATGAGGAATAGGGAAATTTTGATCCTCATCACAAACACCGAGAATATTTATGGTAATAGACTATAGCATTCTTGCCTAGGAAAGACGAATACAGTGATATCAAGGCTAGGTAATAAAACCGGTTGATTAGCTATTTTACGGTGGCTGTGTAGGTTCTCATTAGCGTATTACCCATCATACTGTTAGCAGCGTTAGTTGGACGCAATTTTGAAATGCTTTTCTCCTCTTTTCGGGATTAAGTTGACTGTTTAAGTATGCTCGAAACTGCACTGGCGAATGTGTTTTACCATTCTTGCCAATCGAAGATTTGCTGAGCTATGCAGCTGTTATGCTCTCTAATGTAAATGGGGGGGGGTAAATAAACATGTGTGAAGTCATGTAGTCACGTGAGCTTTGCACCGAGCGCGCTGGCCTAATTACCCTTACAAATTCCATCGCCTCCCTCACCCCCCCACCCCCACAAAATGTACTTTAAGAGAAGTCAAGAGAAATCGATTTTTCTTGCGTACATAATGCTTATTTCAGTTATGCGATTTTATTCACATTCTTTGCGGAGGCAAACACTTTCAGCCACTTGCTACCATATGAACACATTTAAGTATGTAGGAAGGTGAAATAGCCCTATTTTAAGGTGTCAGAAGTGGAAATCATGGAACCAGGAGAATCCAACTTCATCTGTGATAATGGTTCAATGGATTAAGTGCTTCTAATTAAATTAAAATCTTGATGAGGCCTGTCTTTTTATTCATGTTTTCTGCTCCACATATTGAAAATTCTAAATCACAAGAATGCCATGTCAATATCTTCCGAAAGGTACTTGATTTTTTTATGTCTTAGCCCTTAGCATAAAAGTGGCACTTACACAAATAAGTGCACGCATTTTAAGTAATAAAAGTGAGACATTGACCTTCGATTCAATTCGGAAGAATTATTGTAAATGTAAGGAAATGGTTGGGATAATGATAAGGACACATTTTATGTTTTTTTTCAACCAAAAGTACTGATAGCTGTGATTTTGATGCCTATACCATTTGTATAAGTACCAGGCAATGAGGATTTTAAATTTCACCACCAAGACTGGTGACACGTGACCTCGATTTGCAAGTTTAATTAAACTGAGTAAGCTCAATTGTAGTGAATAGGTAAAGCGGTGATTGATAGCCTGTGAATGCAATTTTGGTTGGTAAAATGCAGCAATTGGTGGCGGTATATTTGAAAAATAATTTCTTATTGATGGAATTTTAATTTACACGATGTTCGAAAAATAGCTTCGAGAAATATTTGCGTGGAAATCGTCCAACTTCTTCTTTCCCAGTTAGCCGGAATAAACTTGCTTTTGAAACGAACAAAATAAGTGGCTATCTTCATTATTTCCAAATGTTATTCTTCTTAGTTGCTTTTACACTTGAGAGAGATAAAAATGATATTGTTATAAGTTTTTTTCTGTACGCTTGAATGTTTATAATAGTTCAAAAGTGGCTGGAAAGCCACCCAAGCGTGTGGAGTAAACTTTAAGAGATTTGTTGTAACAGGAAAACTTTTCTATATAAATCACGAGTTAATGGAATGTTTTACTATTATTTTATTAGTAAAAAACGTTTATTTATTTATATCAAGTGGCAGGATTTATGATAGTCATCGTTAGCCCTTTAGTTGACTTCGGACTTCATAGAGGGTTGGAACAGCCAAAATCACAATTTTGTCGAGGGGTGAGAGAACAAAATTGTGATTCACAGATGTAAAAGAGACAGACAGACGCAAAGATAGAGAAAAGGTAAGGTGAGTACTATGGAAGTGGTCGAATATGACATACAGTGGGGTCATTGTAGTTTGAAGTCAGAGGTCAACTTCCGGTTTATAGACTTTTTACCATATATGTATACGTTCCCCAGGGTGCACCATCATCATCCCAGCGAAATGCATTGCCTGTAAAAGCGATCATTATTTCAACGTTTCTCGATAACCCATCAAAAAGTAAGATAGAGCAACCATCTGAATCTACTTTTTAATCTAACTCAATAAATAATTCTGCTTTTTTCATCTTCTTTTGATTCGGAGCCGCATAATCTGAACAGGTACCGGCATTCTCTGTATTCAAGTACTTGATAGGTGCGAATTCGATGGACAAGTGCCTGAATTCGTATATCTGATTGTATAGTCTTCTATTTCTGCAGTTCATTGATTAATAATTGAATAGAAAACTGGGAACATCCATGTATTTGTTGTTCTTCATGACAAAATATAAATTTATAATTGAGTCAATCCCATGATAGTTGCAAAACGCTTACCACATTCTGCGTATTCATCATAAAATTTGTATGCAATCTCACTGTCAAGACCAAGTCGTAGGTCTTTGTGGCTTCCAATTGAGAGGAAATGTAACCCCCCCCCCCACAAGTCCACGCGCGCTCTTCAAACTCGAAAGAATGCTAAATAGTTTACTCTCTCGGCATGCAAATTTCAGGCTGACCAATATGCATTTGCCACTACTGTAATGGATTGCCACCCACTAATCCCTATAGCAAGATCTCCCAGTTAGGAAAGACTCTCTCTCTCAGACTTAAACTATCGCAATGGTATAGATGGAGAAGACGTGTTGTGATTAAGGGGTTTATTGAAATTATGATCACAGATAGTATGATTGGCAATTGAATGCATTTGACACATCTTGCATGCACCTTAATATCTGACTATCTGAGAAGTTTTCTGCACGCACGAACGCACCCTTCGGCGTTATCATGATAAGAATGCGTACTGCACTCTATTTAACTATTGGTTTTCTCAATTTGGATAGGTGAGTATTCATGAAGACTATTCGCTCTGCTAGGTTCAGGCAAAGTTTACCTTAACTGGAATCTTATAATAATTTCACTGGTGGCACCAATGCCTATGTTACTCTTTCCTCACCACCGTTATTTGCAATTTGAAGGAGGAATGCCATAGTTATTAAATAATTATCAAATTAATCTTAGTAATATGGTTGACAAATGTGGTAAGTTTAACAATCGATTGCGGTATTTGAATATTAATAAATAATCCTCCCCCACCCTCCTCACCTCCCCACTTGACCACAAACTTGTCCAAGATTAATCCTTCAAAGGGGCATTGTTACATCTTCAATAAAAGGGGAACACTTGTCTTACCGTCTTTTAATTTTCTAGTTTGTTTAAAGAATTGGAAAATATTTTGATGTTTATATTTTTTTTGAGGTGGAAATGATGTAAAATGATGCATAAAAATATTATTGTGAACTTTTGACTGGAGTAAAGTGCAGTCTAAATATTTTGAAATCAGCATTTTATTGCTTAAAATTTAAGCAGGTTTATTTCTATTAACATCTAGGATGACACATTTTAAGGTGAGATGAAAATTATGGCCTCTTTTGTTCGTTTATCTCGTTATTTATTGCCAGCAGATTTGTCGTCATTTGGTTCCCTCTGTCCAGCTTCATGAGTAGTAGTAGGTGGATTAACTTCCTGGTTTTCAGAAGTTCCAATGGCTTTCTCTCCGTCTGTACGACTCAATTTCTTGGATTGCTTCTTGGGTTCCTCCTTTCCTTTAGAGCCCTTTGCATCTTGACTAGCGTAGGCCTCGTTTATTGCAGTTACCGCCTTTAAAGTATACAAAAACGACTCTATTTATGGTATCATATGCCAAATTTAGCACATGAAAATGCCATACTAGTTTAAACAATGACTCATTCGTGGTTAAATCTCTTAGTCTAAAGGAAATTTATCCAAAATGAAAGCATCAATCCACTAACTTCTCAGTTTTGCTGCAACGTGGTTTCATTTTTTTTATAGAACTAAATGCACGCAGATTTTATGAGAAAGGGGAAAGACGGGTGGTCCAAACAATGGTATTCCTTTCCTTTGCTTCTGTGAAGTTGTCCACTTGATAAATGATTAGCTCTCTAGTAATCTATGTATGCTTCAGTAATGGGCTCCCATATCCACCTAGGAACGTGGAAAGTGAGTACATGAGGGGTGAAACTTGGGAGTTTTGCTTCGGTGCACCAATAATGGTTTCTTCATTATTTCCGATACGCCTAGCAAACTTAGGACATCTCTAATCTTGCGACTAAATTAGACATCGTATAGCCTTGTAGAGCTGATGAAAATCCTGTGTTGAAAGGGCCTTGTGGTTGGGAAAAATAAGGGTTGGGTTTGACAACAGGTGCGGTGGACAACTGAAAATGACAAATGAGAGGAGAAAGGAAGAGGGAGTAGATGGGTAAATCGTGAGGAAAGAGGAGACATCAGTAGTTAGTGAGAACAATGTGGAGTGTCCAGAATAGGAGATATGAGATAGAGCGATTGACCTACTTCGAGTTTCTTGTTTGTTTGGAAGCGACTGACAGTTATAGAGAACAATCATGAGCCAGAAGGATCGTTATAGAGAGGGAGAGAGACTGGGTTAGCCTAGTCAGTGTAAGGAAGTACTGCAAACAATCTTCTTATTTGGATGTTCTTATTTAATAGACCTTTTAGGATGAAGCGAAGTATGCAGACATGACACTTTTCTTTAGTACTTTTTTGTGAACGCTTTTTCAAACACTCAGCTGCCCTCACAAACGATATCATTAGTCGTCTTGTCACAGCTTATCTACACATTGTACCCAACAGAGCAGAACAGTACACCCTCATTTAGAAATACTAACGCTAGTAATCGATAATTTGTTCAAAGCATTCCCTTCTTAAACGCATTCTTGTCGCCCTATTGAGGTGACAGTAAAACTTAATTCAACTATCCCTTAGGAAGATGCAATCAATACGGGTAAGCATTTGTTCCTATGAATTGGATAATTGGCCCATCTCCTATCTTTTAATGATAAGCTATCACCTGGTGTTGATTGATATCTCTCTCTTTTCTACCCATAGGAATGGAATTAGAACATGAAATGTTTAATATACCATACCTCACGAATGATGGAGTCGATAACTAATCTGTAGGCTCTTTCACGATCCAGCTCCTCACAGACCTCATCCAACAATTCTGGAATGAAGTTGTCTTCAATATCTGAAATAAAAGAAACGCTATCCATGATTTGCTTTCTCTTGCAAAAAGATAGAGCAATGTACTTGGAAAATTCGTCAGTGAACTTGATCTTTTACTTTCAGAATTAGTTATGTGGAAGCAAATAAAACCGACATAATTTCTTTAAGGTAATGGATTGCTGGTATTTACTTAATTAAGGTAAATAGCAATTCTGTAACGAGTGTCTCCCATCATAAACTCTGGCAAATTTTAATGAACTAAAATAACTATAAAATTTTAGCAATTGAATGCAATCTTTAGGTACAGACTCGCCTAATAGTTAATTTCAATGCACTTTACTCAACTTAAACATTGTGCGAATATTAAATTAACCAATCAAATATTCGAGTTTCTTGTTTTGATCAATTATGTAGTATCCATTTCTTCGCAAACAGAACTATTTAGTGTATTGAAAGGCTGAAATTCAGGTACTGTTACAGATAAGACCAATAGCTACTAACTAACAGTAGACAACTCTAGTTTCCAGATATCCAGAAAATAGAACCGAGAGTTGAGTTGAAGTTATCGAATTTGAGTCACCTCGAAAGAAGGGAGCGAATCAATACTCCCCAACTGTATCGATTGAAAGCAGTTTAAGCAGAGCCAAAATATAAACTTGATTTTTATCAAAATGGATAAAGTTTGCATTGCCAAAAACTACACTAAGAATTGCATATGGCATCATTCAGTATCCTAAGCCCATGTCAAGGAAAACTTTCCTGGATTTGTAAAAAATGCTGTGCTCTTAATGTAAATTTACAAAAGAATGAAAAAAATATGTAATCTTCGATTACATTCGATTGAGCAATAAAAAGGCATAGTAACCACGTTCAACCATGCTATTCAAATCGCAAATATCGACCAATAAAAACGAGGGACCAAAGCTAACACCCATTGAAACGTCAAGTACATTGGAAGCGAGAATTGTAACACTCGTGTTTGATATGCCAACAACCTAGGTGAATTCGCAAAGGCACAATTGTCAGTTATTAATCAAATATTTTTCAACATAACGTTTTCCTGGAAGTGTACTGATTAATACCATAACCGTGACCTTGACCTTTCTCGATCGTATGCGTATTCAAATTATAATTAGCAATAGGGAGATAATTGGTAGTAAATCAACGAATATGCAAAAGGCATTAAACCGTTTTGCATGGGAGTTTAGAGGACTTATTTTGACAGAACTCAAGATTTGAATGTCGTATAAAAATTAATTATGGGAGATGTACGAATTACCTATTACGTTTTCAATAGGTAAAGTCGACAAACGGGGTAATATAAAGCTTGTTTTTTTATCAAAATTTCCTAATAACTCCAATTGCTGAAAAATTAAAAGCTATTTATGAACAAAAATATATTAAATTTAACCATGAAGGTGTTCCCTTTGGATGACAATCGATTCAATTCGACGGATCGAATTAAACTCGAAACACACCTTTCAAGTAACGCAATACAAGAAAAAAACTCAATAATTAAGGGCCATGTTATTTTGTTATTATGATAGTTACTAAGCTCGAATCAGCACTCTCCATTGGGCAGAAGTGTGAGCTCAGTGGAACCTCCGCTCTAAAGTACCCGAAAATTATGCTTCCCTTTTATGATACAGACTTAGTCGGTGCTGTTGATCAATGTGCTTCCAGGGTGAGCATCATTGTGAGGTCCTAAACTCCACCGCAGATGCGCTTACAAGGTTACCCTATTTTAATCTTGAGTGGCCTGGGCTTCATCTAATTCAGCAACTGTGGTTCCATTAGAATTTGCCGAAATCATGCTACCTTGGCATCAAGGTGAGGAGATAATTGACCACCTTTGGGCATCCGTGAAGTGTGCATAAATGTGCTCATTTTGAACTCAAAGGACACAGATTCCAAACCCATGTATGCACATCTAGAGAGTGGGAAGGCTAACTGCACTGATTAAATCTGCCTTTTAATGTGAAGTGTCAGAAATATTATTTCACACTAATAGGACTTTTTGTGATACTTCTATACACCAACAAAGTAGAAAATGGTTTATTAACTATGGTGAGGATGAAGATAACCGATTTATGCAAACTACTGAAACCAAACTTACCGTTCTCAATGGAATCACTGAAGTACCCATTCAAATGCAGTTGTTCGTAAACATTCGGTATTAGAGGCTCAATGTAAAATCTGGCAAAGTTTCTAGCAGCAATCTTTTCAATTGTCTCCTTTCGTTTAGCTTCGTAAATTTTGTGTTGCTCAATTCGCCGTTCCTTCTCCTCCCTAAAAATGAGTAGAATTAAAATATACCACAAGCAATGTTTTAACCAAGAAATTCCAACCGATTCAGATATTCCAAGCGGTCATTTCAAAGTTAACTCTTAATTCAAGTAATAACTCTTCAATTTTTAAACCTTCTCTTTGGAAAGAGAATCCAATTTACTTTTTAAACTACGATTTATTTACTTTCGAAAAATAAATACAGGAGACCGTATCGAGATAAAATAAAATTTAACTTTCACTTGACAAACTCGGCTAACCGCAGTTTAGCTTAAAAAACTAACATTTCAACAGGAATTTGAAATCACTGTAAGACTGAATTTCTGAAAACGGATGTAAACTAAAGCGAAATGTACTAGTGAATGCTTGTATTTTATTAAAACTCAATTAAATTGAACAATGTTGTGAAAAGCAAATGGACTTCAGACTATTTTTGATTTCTAATATCATATCTAAAAGCGTAACTACATATTCCATATTTTCTTATTAAACTACCTAAACGTTCGTGTTGATGCCAAATTAAAACTCCCGGCTTATAATTAAAGAACAACTCAAGAAAAATTGAATAACAATTTATACATTTTAATTTGTCTAACGGATACATAACAGTAATCGATACCGTTAAGGAATGTTTCCAACTGTGTCGAGTGCTAATAGTTATTGGATGAGTTAAAAATTTCTTGCTTTGGGGGGAAAAATCGATAAATTGTAATATCATTGGTGGATTTTTGCCTTAAAGGCTCAGTTGTCCTCTATAAAGCTGCAACTTCTCAGATGCCATGATGGGTAGGGGGGGGGGGGGGGGGGGTGGGGTAAGAAAGAGAAATTGTAATTCAAATTAAATAAAATAAGGTAATTTAAATAGGGTAATGGATATCTGGCAAAAGATTGGCTGCCTGGTTATCAATTAATTTCAGCGTCGATTTTTCGTCAGTTGGCCATACAAATTTAGGTGTGAGCGCGAGAACTCAGTAAGCAAAAACCCAGTATATGCGAAGTGACCTTCATTTCACACAATTCAAATGTTGCTAACACCTTTCTTCAATGGGACTTACAAATAGTTTCAAGCCGAGTCTTACCTTTATTGATTGATCAAATGATTGTGTATATCGGCTCGGCTTTGACTAAACAACATTTCTAGCCACATTTACCTACACTTGGAATAGGAACCGAAATTGCATGACAAGCACACCTTAACTTTAACTGAATTAAAAGAACATTGCACTGCTATCCTAACAGAAATGGGTGTCTTAATTCGTCAATTGGTTAAAATTAAACATAGCCCTAGTTGTCTCCACTTCACCATCCTCCTCCATTCGATCACACACTCACTCTCTCTCTCTCTCTTCCTCTGTTTCATTCCTTAGAGTACTTCTTTGCTGTCTCCGGTGTTCAAATATCTTCCCATTATTGAAAATGGTATTTCTTATCACCTCAACAGAAGATAGCAAATATGAATATCCTTTTTTGTTAAGCAACACACCACCAACTGCGACTTAACTTTAAAATAATCGATACAAAATACATGTATAAAAATTTACTCCTCAATTTGTTAGATTTTTGCTCTTCTAGCTTAGCACGTGCAATAAGAGTGATGCCGATTTAGATTTTTTACATGATGACGTGTTGAAACACGAACAAATATGATCAGACCTTGTCCCAAAATGGTGTCTCTCCGCCCTCGCACGAAAATTAAATTGAGTGACATAAATAGACAATCAAATTAAGCACCTTCCATTGTAATTTAAACTTTCGCTTGCAAATGGCATCACTTCTATTAACACAGAATCCACAATCAGAACTAAATACACCAAGAAGTGAATAGCACAGAAGACGTATGGAATAAGGAATTACCCCCGATTCTATAAGGAAGTAGGAATTGAGAAAGTGTGCATAGGTGTTGGATGAAGGAGTTTTAATAAGAATTTTATACGCAAAGTATTGCAGATGAAAACAATGAGGTGAACAAGCCCCCATATTGACAGACGATGGACATCTGGAGGAAACTCCACTTGGGTAAGATAAATTGTGCTACAAGTTCTCACAAGGTTTAAGTGATTTTGTTGAACTTGTTCCTCACCGTGCCGACCTCAACTCAATATATTTTGGCTACTAAGATTCAATAATTTTTTGAAAGCCGGAAGAACCTATTGCGATTCTGAGTGTTTTTTAATAGCTATCTTGAAGAAATTCCTTGGTCTATTTAGGCATTGGACTGAAACTGTTAAACTCTTGATCCCTAAATTGGTGTAATAGTGGTGAAGAAAAAAGTGATTACTAATTCACATGAGTTCAAATCAATTAAACAAGCCTTAAACTGAAAAAAAACAAGTTGATATAACGATTCTGGGACTTAGAAGAATTAGAGTTCTTCTGATTTTCTGACTCAGAACTAATTCCCACAGAAAATTGAACTACATTTACCTGTCGGTTTCCGTATGTTTGGCCGTGATTGTATAACGTATTTTGGAAAATAAAGTAGTCACTTTCATAATATGTTCAATTTGGTCAACTAAGCACTTGATTTGACATCTGACCATGTCAAACTGCATTATTTCACAAGGTAGGAGAACAAAAAAGCGTAAAAAAGCCCACAAGTACACTGTTGACCTTGTGTTTTCATGGGTGTGATTAAATTGGAATGTTAAATATTGCATCACATGTTGTGCGCAAGGGTAGGACACCGCCCATATACGAAATAGGTCAGAACAGTTTTGCACCTTATTTCGGAATTTTGTAATAAAACGATGCGTTCTTAAAAATAGCAGTTAATCAGCTGCCTTTGATCAATAACAATATATTGTGCAATTGCATTGCTCTACCTCGTATATGTTAGCTTTGATTACGTGAAAATGGAATTGTGTGTGCACAGATTAAATTAAGCCAATTTAGAGAAACTGTCTTAAAGTACAATCTCTTTCATTGACATTTTCTTAGCTCAATGAAATTGTCTTGGTTGAATTTTCTTGCAAGGCTTAAAATCAAATGAGCTTCGGAGTCGATTGACAAGACATGTATGATAGTATCGGTGTTTCCCGAAAGTCCATTAAAATGCAGTCTTACAGTCTTCCTCTGTTTGGGACTGAAACTTGACTTTCCCCATACGGGTTGAGTCCTTCGGAAAGTACAATACACGCGCACCATACACACGCGGAAACGCATATATACAGATACTTCCGCATTATCGTTCGTGGGTGTGTGGGACACGTTTCGCTCTGTGCGTCATCGTATGCCAGCATGTCTGCTCGCCAGGACTGGGAGGTGCGACCGTACAAACAGTGACCAATCATCAACCTCTGTTTATGACCGTACAAACAGTGGCCAATCATTAACCTCTGTTTAACGCGATCGTACAAACAGTGACCAATCATCAACCTCTGTTTAACCTAATCTCCCAACTTGATCACAAGCAGCACCCTGCGTGTACACACTTGATCCGCAATGTACGCCCTGAATAAACTTGCTCCGTGCTACACGTCTGTTTCCTTTATAGCTG